CCATGCGTGTGAAAGGTTGTGGTTGTGTGCTTCACCATGCCACCAGTTCGGTATGCGTTAAGCGACTGTTTATAACCAGCCCTGCATATGGGTGCTGGGATCCATGAGACACTGCATCAACTGAGCAAACGGCCACCATCCAAGATGCCTTGTTGACTATAACGACGTATTTGTACACTACTTCAAATACATTACGTTTCAGCAATCGGTTGTATGTCCAACAATGTATTCCACCTACATGCCTTGCAATACAGATAATGATGACATTCTTAGCTTGTCAGCTTGCTGACGTGGTTATTTGGTCACGTGGACAAGGCGTCCGACTTCGGATCAGAATTTCCCTGGTTTGAATCCCAGCACGGGACTCGGAGATTTTATGGCCGCTTCCGTGCGTTATTGCAGGATTGCGTCAGTCGCACACAGGCAACAGACACTACTGTGTTTTTCTAATCCCCCACACCTGTAAATAAAACATCAGCCATTGATGACCACAGCAGTGAATGTTGTTACTATGTGTGTGACTGTTATGCTTCATGTACACCCAGACCACATATATTTACAAAGTAGAACCAAAATCACATTTACCGAAGCAGGGCACTTCTACAGTTTCATTTTAACTACCTCACGAAGAAGGTATTCTCAGTAAAAACATATAAAAAGTATAAAATATATAATTGCAGTAAAAAGATTGCTGTTACAATGCAACAGTACATACCGGAGTATAATAGCACCAAGGTATCTATTGTTTAGTGTAACGGCGACTGCAAAGGGTTTGTTGGTGAAACTGTGTGTATGTTCCAACAGACCTGCTCCGTGAAAAGTGCATGATACTTCTGATAAATATAATCTAGGCCGAGGCTTGGAAATTCAAAGGTAAGAATGTCAGACTGCTCTTGAGTACACATAATGTGTATGCTGTATTCTTTTAAAGTCACGCTCTACTAAACAGATATTTCGAGATTGAAGGGGCGTAGGTAGTCTCATGCATGAGGTGGTAGCACTGCTTGAATATTTCCCTGTCCTTACATCCAGTGAATACAATGTCTACAGGCCGCTTTACACTAGAAAGGATGCTGTTTCATATATGTGTTGCGCGTGCGTGCGTGTGTGTGTGTGTGTGAGAGAGAGAGAGAGAGCGCTGCGTAAACAGTTCGCAACCTAGTTTTATTTTGTGAAGTTTGACAAACTGTGGGCGTGAAATTGAATCGATTCTTATCTCATCAGTATTTCGGCAGATATGTTGGTATATCTCGATTGTTACGTGAGAATGGTTGTCAAACATGCGTGGGTGTATCTGTCTGATAGGTTTGGTGCACAAAAATGCAAGATTGATGAACTGCACCCATAACAGTTTGCACAACTGCGTGGCTTTTCTACGTAAAGGTCCAGAACATAACGGGCCGGGTGGTTAGAAAGTGTCGGTTTTGTATCTTCGATGGTGTGGACAGTAGTTCAGCGTATCAACCATCCTCCGAGTGAAATTCGGGTTAGAATTTGTCTTCAAGGGAGTGACGGGATTGGGTGTTTCAGGCTCGCTAAATTTGGTTGACACACGTCATCGTATCCGAATTACATTACATGATGTTGAGCACTGGATTGTCTGGTTCCGACTGCACTATTTCCAGACCGCTGCTATATAGCTGGAGCTCAAGTGTGCGTAAACAAACCAAAATGTATCAACCATCCGGTTTTGCCAGGTATAAAGAACCGAAAGAAGTCCACCCGTCTAAAGTGAACAGAGCTTATCTTGTTTGGCAGTGTATTTGCACAACACCAAAGGCAATGTAAGCGCTTTCGCTGCTATATGAGAACTTTACAAGCATGATGCACGTATGCTTCACAGCTGCACACGATGCCAATGCTGCTTGAAAGATTCTGTGAAAGAGCTTACGTTATTTAAGACATTGTTTGTGACCAGTACTACTGATGGAGACATGGCGCCTTTCGCGAACACATACTATATTTTGATAACTATTAATGGCATGGTCGGAATCGTACAGTGGGCACGGAAGTATTGGATGGGTGACCGTTTTGGGCAGCTTGACTTCGGAGAGTTTCTAGTTTCAGCGAAACACATACGATACATGTGGTCTTCCTTAGGCAAGTGAGTTTGTTCAACATTGCCTCTGTACACCTTTATCAGAAAATGGGTACCCGTCGGGATATGACATGTGACTAATAACCTTCTAGCGCCTCACAGGCGGCTTGGGTTATCAGGGTAATAGTGATCTGATTATTGCGCTTTGGGCAGCATATGCCCTGGAAAGATGGGTTATAAATATTCAGCACCATTATTATTATTATTTTCAGCATTAACTTTAAGCATACGACTGTGTCGGATGGTGGTTTATAATGATTTAAGAAATGGTTATTCGATGGTGATGTGTTGGATACAGGCATCAGTCGTGTTTGGGTCCTTTGTTTCCCCTTTTGGCGACTGCAGTCAGCCTATTAACGTTTCGACAATGTTTGTAATATTAAGCTTCTTTGAGGGTAGCATTTTAGAAGTTGGGAAGTACAATATATAGACAAACTTTATGCAGAACAACTTCTATATTTTGTGGGTGCGACCTTTCGATACAGGTTTGATACGACGGTATAAGTATCTGTGTCGAAGCAGTAGCCCCTGAAATCTGAAGTTGTTATCCATAAAGTTTGTCTATAATGTTCTGTAATATTGTTGTCAATATGTATACTTACTTTTGATGTCAGTATATGTTTACCCTTATATTACCTTCCCCGTCTTAATGCATTTTAATGAGGTCACATGAACATCAAACATTTTATTCCCTTAGGCGTTAGCGTTCCCCTTTACGTCAACATAGCCCTTGACCTCTTGGTATTGCACATGATGCTGTTTACACCGCTTTATAGCCTGGCTGGTAATTGTCTGACATGTTTTTTCCAAAATTTAGCATATTCCATTGAAAATGCTGCCTCTATTAAAACTCGAACTGTCTCGCCGGAGTCTATATAAGTTATCCCCTTACAATGCACCACCACGCCACGGTTGGCTGACCAGTTTGTCGTGTCGCATCCAGCGCATGTTTTGTGACACTGAATTGAACTTTTCCTAAAGCGTTGCAAACTGGTTCTGTGTTGTCGTTTTCATATGCCTAACCTGACAAGGTTACAAATCCATGTTAGTGTGTTGGTTCGTGTGTTGGAAAATTGGGAAATTAATGAGTTAGTTTGCATGCATGAGAAAAGGTCTGTTCCTTAAAATTATGAAACAATCCGACAAAATATCTTACACAGACTGCTCTGTAAATGTCGTCAAATGCCTTGGAGAAAATCAAATGAGTGAGTGAGTAAGGTTTTACGCCGCTCCTAGCAATATTCCAGCAATATCATGACGGGGGACGCCATGTGTCTTCGGCGTGACGAGCCAACGTTTTAACCCAAGGCTACCCCACCGCCCGAAGTAAATCAAATGAAATGTATGAGAAAAGGAGAACAAACTTTACATTTAGGATATGAGATTTAAAATTCCAATTCCTCACATTGTGTCTAAAGCCTTATCTTTCGCCGTGACATTGCTGATGTATTAATAAAACTATATTCACTTGCTGACCCATATTATAAGTCATGGCAACCTTTAGTGAATAACAACACCATGGTGTGATCTCACAGAAGGTATTATATGGCGCACCTGACAGACTCGGCAGCTGTGACGCATTGCACGCATATCACAGGGGCGGACACAGATTTTTGAGGGGGGTGCACAGTTCATTTTCACCCGTTTTCACGAGTTTCAATGGTCATTTAATAAACTTTTCAGAACAAAAAGGCGGGGTGCGCACCCTGCACCCTCGCCCCACCCCACCCCCCATCTGGATCCGTCTATATGTCATCATGACTAAATAGTTAAAGCAGCTATCTGACACAGGCACAAGCATGTCCCATTGTCATGCTTCAACAGGTTATCGGCCTCACTGGATTGTTTCCAGAGCCCGTCCTTGTATGACTAGGGTATACTTAGCTGAACAACAAACACTTTGTTAATTACTGTTGCTGCTGGTACAACAGGATACACAACTGTTTTCGGTGTGCTTCACTAAATCTAACCTTTGTCATACACGATTGCTGGAGTAGGTATTTCAACCTGTGTCGAAACATTTACCATTTTTTCACACGTTTCAAACGATTGCCATATTTAAACACCTCTGTTATATTTGTTCAAAGTCCCCAAAATGTTCGTGTTTTTCATGACCTTTCAAGAAAAAGTTGGTCGACCAAATGATACGTACAGTTTAAGGCTCAAGCATGGGTACACGTGGGAAAAGCTGAACTAATGTGTTTTGCTAAATATGATTTCTACTAAAGTAACTAAAGTTGCACGACAACATGTAATGAAAACATCCGTTCCTGAAAACCACTACGAATACCATCATGCAAAGGGAAAATAATTTTTAGCACCCCTCAACCCCTACCCAAGCGCCAATCCCCTACACACAATTGTCATCACTTCACAACAATTTCCATTTTAACATGCAAGAAGCATAATGGATGAAAATTATTTGCATGGATCACAGAAAATACGTGATGCCAGAAAGGACAGAATGTCCTGTCTTCCTTAATAGCCCCGCCACAAACAACACAATATTGAGTAAAATAGTAAGTGCTTTGTGTACAGAAGAACTGGTGACAGTCGATGACGGCCTATACACTGACGTTCATTCCTGTATTTCTAAATTCAATAAGTCAAATGTTGTGAAGTTATTCTGAAGTGCATCCATATGTCCAAGGTCCATGTACACATGTCATGTCATTGTACATATACTCAGCATAAAACTCTGAATAAATAAAATGGAGGGTTTCCACTGTGGGGAATACTTCGTATGCAGATATCTAGTTAACCAGAATATGCGCGCCCTATGGGTAGTCAACCAAATACACAGGTGCAATTTTGATATTTTGCAGAAAGTCCCAGGTCCCCTTGAATATGTATTATATATATTTATTCTGAGCACTGTAATACTTGACTTTCATGTCACCAGAAAACACGTCCGGGCTCTGGATTCGAAGTTATCGAAGCGTGAAGTTTCCGAACGCAGAAACAAAACTATGCACAATGAGCATCTGTGATATATTTGCACAAACTAGAACAGTTGAGATCGGATTTAGACAAAGTACCCTTACTGAGTCTAAGTGACGGTACTGACACACAAAACTACCTGTAAATCGGGCGCACCGGACAGAGCTGCGTTTACCGGCACGGTGGAACATGTTTTGAAGTCCTTGGATCGACCGGAATAACGCTTCATCAGGATGAAATTCGACGATATTCTTGAAGACCATCTCGGGGCTTTTGGGCGTTACCAGAAGAGGAAGTATTTCTTGCTCTGCCTCCCGGGTGTCTTTTGTGCAATGCAAATGCTCAGTCCAGTCTTTGTGCTCAACATCCCTAATCACAGGTAAGATTTTCACCTGGAAATGATATATTCATGCAATGTTACGATGACGAACGCGAGCAATCACGTATTTCTCAGAAGATTTGAATTTACCGGATCAGCAAGGGTACTATTTCCATTCAACTGTTCCACGTGATGAAAATGTTTGTACATTATGGAACATTTACATTTGTGACATTAGCGTCACAGTCGAACAAAATGTTATCACCTTCGCAGAAGATACATTTGTCTACGTCAAAGACACTTCCTTCGACGTAGATGATACATCTACAAAGATAATCATTTCATCTATGTAACATAAACATTAGGGGTGGTCGATAATACCGGTTAACCGTTATATTGCAATTCGAACTTCACAATACGATATATTGCGGTACACATTTCGCGAACCGGTTCGGATCGGTAATTTTCGTAGTCTCCCAAAACTAGTGTTCACATTTGTATTTCCTTGATATTATTTAAGAAATACAGTTCGCTCTACCACCATGTATAGTGTAATAAAACACCCTTTCGCCCTGAACTATTAAAGTTAAAATACGAGGACGCTTGCGTCCGAGTGCTTTAACGTTATAATAGTTCAGGGCGAAAGTGTGTTTTATTACACTAAACATGGTGGCAGAGCGAACTGTATTTCTTTTCTAAGATGCCAAATTTAATACTTTCTAAGGATAATTACGATTAATTTAAGGCAGAAAACAAACGATGGTGTCGGTGACCTAAATTAAGAATCCTCGCACAGGGCTAACTGGCGCGCTGTTCTATTGATGTGTCTGCCCCCTACGTTAAGATGAACGTTACCAGAAAAAACAAATGATAACAGTTTGATGACAGTTTACGTTCGGATTAAATATCTTCTCTGAATTATTTTAATTACATCTGTCATTACTGAAACCATATGAGGCAATATGAACGTCGCATTTCTACTACCAACGTACGTTTAGATCAGTACATCCAGATGAAGCTGAGTAGTCAAGCGACCGAGTTCCAAACTTAAAAGCGAAGTCTTGAACTTGGAAACATTTTCAATAATTGATCTCTTGTACAATTACATCTGAGTCCTGACAGTGGCCAGTGGCATTGTTTCAAAGAAAGGAAACAGTAATTTCATTACCTTAACCCATGTTTACACTTTCACAATATATTGCAATACATATTACAATACGCCAACACATATCACACTATATCACAATACGAAAATTGTGGCAATATCCAACCCTAACAAACATATAGGATAAAAGAATCCACTCACGTAATCGACAACAGTTTCGGGTCTGAGTTCTGGTAGCCTTTGGCTCAATTAATGTTGACAAGTTGCTTGACTTTTAAACATGATATATGTTTATTGAGGTCCTATCTGAATATAAGATAAAGTGACTTTTCATTTCAATTTGTAAGTGTTTTCTTAAATGAATTTATTTAAGTTTTTTATTGTTTCTTAGATATTTTGATGATTTGAAATGATTTCAGTAATTGTGAACATACAAAATGGCCAAATGAAAATGAAAGACTAACTAGCTACAAACATTTAAATGTTTTAAATCATTTGTTGAATGTGTCCAATATTGTGTACATATATTACTAAAGTCATGAATATATGAATGAAAGAATTGCTCTTTGGTGCGCTGTGACAACTTTGAAGAAGGAGACACATTTGACATAGCAGCTGTTGATTGAAGAATGGCATTTAACAGCCAATGGGTTTCGCTGGGGCAAGTGGAGGTGCTCGTGCTGTTATATAAGTTGCCATCGTGGCCAGATGTAGCTGACAAACGAAAGATGGGAACGCGTTTTCCCTGGATTCAGATTTAATTACGGTCAAGAACCTTGATAATCGTTGTTGTGTTGGCCATGTAGCCATGTTCTAGAGACGCTCACGCCTAAACAAAATACCTGAAATGTGCAATTTCTCCTGTTTGTCTGATGAGTACCTCCAGACTGTACGGTCTTGTACAATAGGGAACCCATTAGACGCAAAGGGATAACTCCTATATGACAGTTATGGGCGTATGTGAGGGAATACAGTCAGATGATAAGGCAACTTTGAGTTCAATAAAATCATTCTCCTTATTCATGATACAGTAGGCATAAAATTCGTATTCTTATACAACTCAGTTCAATAAAATCATTCTCTTTATTCATGATACAGTAGGCATAAAATTCGTATTCTTATACAACTCAGTTCAATAAAATCATTCTGCTTATTCATGATACAGTAGGCATAAAATTCGTACTCTTATACAACTCAGTTCAATAAAATCATTCTCCTTTTTCATGATACAGTAGGCATAAAATCCATATTCTTATACAACTCAGTTCAATAAAATCATTCTCCTTATTCATGATACAGTAGGAATAAATTTCGTATTCTTATACAATTCAGTTCAATAAAATCATTCTCCTCATTCACGACACAATAGGCATAAAATTCATATTCTTATACAACTCAGTTCAATAAAATCATTCTCTTTATTCATGATACAGTAGGCATAAAATTCGTATTCTTATACAACTCAGTTCAATAAAATCATTTTCCTTATTCATGATACAGTAGGCATAAAATCCATATTCTTATACAACTCAGTTCAATAAAATCATTCTCTTTATTCATGATACAGTAGGCATAAAATTCGTATTCTTATACAACTCAGTTCAATAAAAATCATTCTCCTTATTCATGATACAGTAGGCATTAAATCCATATTCTTATACAACTCAGTTCAATAAAATCATTCTCTTTATTCATGATACAGTAGGCATAAAATTCGTTTTCTTATACAACTCAGTTCAGTAAAATCATTCTGCTTATTCATGATACAGTAGGCATAAAATTCGTATTCTTATACAACTCAGTTCAATAAAATCATTCTCTTTATTCATGATACAGTAGGAATAAATTTCGTATTCTTATACAATTCAGTTCAATAAAATCATTCTCCTTATTCATGACACAATAGGTATAAAATTCATATTCTTATACAACTCAGTTCAATAAAATCATTCTCTTTATTCATGATACAGTAGGCATAAAATTCGTATTCTTATACAACTAAGTTCAATAAAATCATTCTCTTTATTCATGATACAGTAGGCATAAAATTCGTATTCTTATACAACTAAGTTCAATCAAATCATTCTCCTTATTCATGATACAGTAGGCATAAAATCCATATTCTTATACAACTCAGTTCAATAAAATCATTCTCTTTATTCGTGATACAGTAGGCATAAAATTCGTATTCTTATACAACTCAGTTCAATAAAATCATTCTCTTTATTCGTGATACAGTAGGCATAAAATTCGTATTCTTATACAACTCAGTTCAATAAAATCATTCTGCTTATTCATGATACAGTAGGCATAAAATTCGTATTCTTATACAACTGTTGTCACCTGTTATTAACATTTGGATTTTAATCCAAGTGCATTAAGTACGTTATTATCATTATTCATGTTAGTAGATCTGTACATATGGAACAGATTACATTCCTAACACTTAAAGTAGTTCTGTGGATACATATGTATGCCGATCATTCTGTGGAGAAATATTACTTTCTGCTTAAAAGCTGTTCTTGAACTCCCCTACATAGTGTTCCAATCGTAGTCTGAAGAGAGGCTGACTGAAACACTTCAGTACTACGACAAAGTGTAATTTCTGGAACTGTCGAACATTAAACCGACCTGATGCTCATCTGGGTTGTCGTTTGGCTTTTCCCTTTTCTGTGAAACATCTTCCTTAGACAGACAAAAATAGGAGATGTGCATCGATTAGGGGGATTGTCAAAGAGACTTAGACTGATGCGGGGATTCCAGGCTGGAATGTGTTGATGAGGCATGATGATCGTATAATTGTAAAACCGGTTAACATCGGATGGATTAGGTTATCTCGAGGTGAGGTGGGGTGAAATTGGGTTTAACGTCGTGCTTGAGAATATTTCGCTCATATGACGACGTGCATGCGTGTGTATGTGTATGTGCGGCTGCTTGTACTAGCCCAGACTGAAGCTGGTTTTCTAGTGCTAGCCCACTGAGATACCATGCCGCAGTGAAGCATGAATACCCCACTCAGACACATTATACTGACTCCGAGCCGACCAGTCCTTGTTGTACCCATTAATGGCGAGCGCCAGGCAGGGACCAACAAGTATTTTAACGTCTTTTTGGTATGACGCGGTCGGGGATCGAACCCGAGACCTTCCGCTCTCCGGGCGGACGCTCTAACTACTACACCACGGAGGCGGTAGGTTATCCTGACTTCGTGGGGATAGTTGCCCATTCTCCAGACCACTGCTGTTTAGAGTGCAGCTGAACTGTTGTTCACTGTAGTGTTCTATTCATTCACATACCCCACAGCGAATCTGAAACTGTAATCGTTCCCATTGTCGAAATATGTTCAAAACATCTATTCACTATGAGTGGAGTTTACGTCGAATACAAAAGACACAACCAGCGTCAAACGCAGTGGTATTGTTAGAGTATAGTTTTGCTTTAGCTGTGTATCATTATACGAACGTTTAATCATGTTCAGACACGGGTCTTCTATCAAGTGAGTCATCTTTTTAGTCACAGATAGTGTTTTTCATTGGATTGTGTACAGGCCTGTGAGCGACAGAGGAACATGTGTGGTAACTGGATCCAATTGTCAGCTCCCGGGTTTCAAAACGAGGAGACGCATTACGTAGAGTTATATATCACGTTGCTATAATAGTCCTGTGCACGTAATTTCAAGTTATGAAAACTTTCGGTGCACTCAAATGATCTTATACCTGTTCAAAAACGCTAAGTCCATCCAACGTTATTAGCTTTCCCTTGTGCATTCTCGTGTGCCACAAAATGCCACAACCAACATGTGACAAATAATCAGTCAGAAAACCTGTCTCTGACCCAAACTGAAAAACTCAAACAATGCAAAAAATGTTAAAGGTCACATGCAACCAAAAAATCAAACATAATTAAAACACAATTATCACTTATTCATGACATATAATATACATTGCTGGTTATG